GAGGGCGGCATTCAGCGGCTCATGCACACCCAGCACATTGCGGGTGGGAGGCATTTGTATACACCCACTCTGCCCGTGACTGGGCGTGTGATGTCTGCCAGGTGCACCCGCCCTGCTTTCCTCATTAGTGAAATGGGCCACACAGCTTCCCTGCCTCCTTTCTTCCCTCATCCCACTTTAACTGAGCGTCTGCTCCGTGTCAGACCCTGTGCAGGCTTTGGGGACCCAAGGAGGTGTGGGGCTCAGCCCGGGCCATTGCTCTCCAGCTGGGTGTGGGCACCCTTGGGGTTATACGTAACGTGTCTGGAGACATGAGGAGCCACAGGGAACTACACGACGGGATGGTAATTTCAAACGTTCTTTTTATTTTCAAAATTTCTGTCTACATTATAGGTAGGCCTTGACTGGTAGGTGGTAGAAGTGAGTTCCTAACACAGGCATTCTGGCTCTCAGCTGAGAGGGTCAGATGATGACAATTATAGACAGCCCTTATGGAGTTTCGTGTAACTGTAATTTATATTGTATATACTGTGTTCTCGACTAATGGTGAAAACAGCCCTAAGAAGTAAGTAGTGTTATATTAGCCCCATGTTACAGATGAGAAAACTGAAGACCAGAGGAGTTAAGTAACCTGCCCAGTCACACAGCTAGTAAGTAGCAGAACTAGTTCCAGAGCCCATTCTCTTCACCACTGTTCTGGGAGTGTTGGGGGAGGGGTGTAATAGAAGATGCTGGTCAGAGACCAGATTCTGACCCTTACCCATCCACCATTGTGTCCCCCCGGATTAGCTTGAGGTTCTTGAAAAAGCCCAGGGACACGAGAGCAAAGGAGTGCTTGATTTTGAGGAAGCCAGTGATGGTCTCCACCAGCCCCAGGCTGTGCTGCAGCTCCGGCTCCAGGTTGTCTGGGGATGGGGAAGACAGGGCAGGGAAGGTGATGGATCCACGGGGCTGAATGGGGCTGAGGTGAGCCCTCAGGGCTGGACCCCAGGATGGTGGAAAGTGGGGCTTAGTTGGGTGGTTGAGAATGGTGTCTGGGAGGAAAAATGTGGCTGGGAGGAGGGGCGTGGCTAGGAGGGGCGGGTGGCCAGGGAGAGGGGTGTGGCCAGGGGAGAGGTGTGGCCGGGAGGAGGAGTGTGGCTGGGAGGGTGTGGCCAGGTGGAGGGGTGGGGCCGAGGAGAGGTGTGGCCGGGAGGCGGGGCGTGGCCGGGAGGAGGGGTGTGGCCCCGAAATAGGTACTGACAGCCCTGTCGAAGGTTGAGGATGAGGCTCCCCTCCACGTGGGTGCAGCCCACCAGGTCCTGTGCCGCCTGGATGGAGTCAATGGTCTTGGTGCCTACCTTGCACTCCTTGGGGCACAGCCCCTCGCACTTGTGGCAGAATATGCTAGCAGGGCAAGCAGAGAGCATGAGCTTTGGGCCAGGGCGGGCCTCCCCGGACCTCCTCGCTGTTCTTAGGGTGCTCCCCACCCACCCA